TTAATTTAAATCCAGGCCCTATAGTGTATCCCCAGGACGTTTGGGCTTAGGCCTGGACTGGCAGCTTGCTGGAGCCCAAATAACTGGTAGCTTGTTAGAAGAGCATGGGTACAATACTCCTTCGTTGGGCTTATCTCAGAGCCCGATCGGTGGCCTTGACACATAATTACCATTTAACTTACTTCAGTTCAATAACAAACTTTAGGATTTTTCTTGCGCTGCTGGAGACAAATAAAAAATATAGTTGCTTTAAGACTGCCTTTCCCTGAATAAAAATTACACGAGCCTCGCCAAAATATAAGTTGCGGGGTCTTCGATAATGCTTTATATAAAATTTAGATTTCGGGATACGCCGCTTAGCAAATTTCACGGCCTTCCCCAAATATAATAAATACGTAGCTGCTTTAGGCGCGTACTTTAATATTACTTCCCTAAATTCGGGTGCACACTTATGTGACCCAAATCCAAATCTCAACGAAGTTGAAATGTGTTAACGATCACGGGTGCACTGGTGCAACGTGGTTCGAGACGCATTTTCACGACGTTGCAATTCTCTAAAAATAATAATAATAAAAGCGTTTCAAAAGTCAAAAGGCACATAGATTAAAACATGTACTAAAATCAAACAAATGAGCCAAATATGACAGTTGAGCGACCGTGCTAGAACCACGGAACCCGGGAATGCCTAACACCTTCTCCCGGGTTAACAAAATTCCTTACTCGGATTTCTGGTTCGCTGACTGTAAAACAGAGTCAATCTTTCCTCGATTCGGGATTTAAAACCGGTGACTTGGGACACCATAACTATTCCAAGTGGCGACTCTGATCTTAAATAAATAATCCCGTTCCGATTGTCACTTCAAGTTGGAAATAACTCCCTTTACCATACCTTCTTCCGCGGGTGTAGTAAGTAAAAAGGAGGTGTGACAGGTTTATGCTTTCTGACTTAAAAGAATTCTTAAGCAGCAGATACTATTATCCATCCAAAGGAATATGATGTATTGACAGTAAATTTTTCTGTTCAATGTTGTAATATCAAGATTCTATACTACCAAGAGCAGCATTAGATGCCTCCTACACTTACACATGAGAACTAAGGAGAGATAATACATTAGATGCCATAGGAAATTTTGGCAAATAGAATCATATTTAATTGAACCCCACCCACTAGATGCCATAGACTGTTTATTTATATACCAACAGAGAAAGATTGAAAATATGCATTGGTTGACTCACATGTTAAAAATGTTCTATATCCTATCTAATTTATGTCCAAGAAAACTAAAATTTCCCTAAATAACATTCTCCATATTGTATGTTGATGAACCTGTTGTTGCGATAATGGATTCGCATACAGTTAACATTTGTTGGTGCACTAAGCTTCCGCTATGCGAGGATCGAAGAAAGGGCCGGACCACAACGGTATATTGTATGCAGCCTTACCCTGCTTTCTGCAAGAGGTTGTTTCCATGGCTCGAACCCGTAATCTCCTGGTCACATGACAACAACTTTACCAGTTACGCCAAACGTTTCAATCAAAAGCTATGTTGCTCCGACTCTCCGAAAATGTCGCCGGATACGTGTCAGATCCTCCAAAAGTAGTGTATTTTTGGAGGATCCGACACGGGTGCGGCAACATTTTGGAGAGTCCACGCAACATAGATCAAAAGTAAAAAAAAAAAAGGCAGCTCGGTGCATTAAGCTCCCGCTAAACAGGGGGTTCGGGGCAGGGTCAGACCACAAGAGTCTATTGTATGCAACCTTACCCTGCATTCTGCCAGAGGCTGTTTCCACGGCTCGAACCCGTGACCTCCTGGTCACATGGCAGCAACTTTACCAGTTACGCCAAACGTATCAATAAAAAGTAAAAAAAAAAAGGCAGCTCGGTGCATTAAGATCCCGCTAAACAGGGGGTTCGAGGCAGGGTCAGACTACAAGAGTCTATTGTATGCAGCCTTACCCTGTATTCTGCCAGAGGCTGTTTCCACGGCTCGAAACCGATAACCTTCTGGTCACATGGCAGCAACTTTACCAGTTACACCAAACATATCAATCAAAAGTTAAAAAAAAAAAAGGCAGCCTAGTACACTAAGCTCCCGCTAAACCGGGGGTCCGGGGAAGGGACAAACCACAAGAGTTTATTGTATATATGCAGCCTTACCCTGTATTCTGCCAGAGGCTGTTTCCACAGCTCGAACTCGTGACCTCCCGATCACATGACAACAACTTTACCAATTATGCCGAAAGTATCAATCAAAAGTAAGGAAAAGGGAAATAGTAGCAATCTTTCAAGTAAAAGGAAAGTAAAAGGCAAGAGTATACTTACGTTAAACAAATGTCTAAATCTATTGAACCTTTAATGCATTGATGTGATTGCCAGAATTTAGTGGAACAAACAACAGTCTTAACAGACTTTAAATATCTGCCTTCCGCCTCAGCTTCAGCTTAAAAACCAGAGAGTAATTCACAGCACACAACAGAAAGGAAGTGAAGACAAACTAAGATGAAGAGATATGTGGAATGTTATCCAATCTTTGTTATGTTGGCAATTGATTTTGCTTTCGCAATAAGTAATATACTTCTTAAGAAGATTATCATGGATGGTATGAACCATTTGGTTTTCATCACTTATCGACAGTCCATTTCGACTATATTTTTAGCCCCTATTGCTTTCTTTCTTGAAAGGTATGAACAATACTTCCTACTTTTCACTTATCTGAAGTTATGTTACAACTTTTCATATGATAATCTTCTTGTTTTGCAGAAATACTAGACCTAAACTCACACCTCAAATCTTGTGCTACCTATTCTTGAGTGCAATTGTTGGGTAAGATTGTCTTTTAAATAGCTTTTTTTGTTGTTAAGTCCTGTTTGTTACTCTGTGTTTCTCTGCTAAAGTTTTAGAACCATAACTTAGACGCCTTTTTCGTAGGGCATCTCTTACACAATACTTATTCCTTCTTGGCATACAATACACTTCTGCAACTTTTGCATGTGCCTTTGTCAACATGGTTCCGGTGATAACATTCATTATGGCATTACCTTTCGGGTATGAGAATTCGTTCTCTCTCGTTTCAACAAGTAAATATAGCTCAAAAAGTTACGACTCTCCCCTTTTCTTGATCTATTGATCCAATCTAAGGATATCATATGATTGAAATGCAGGTTAGAGACAATTAACATAAAAGATAGAAGTGGAAGAGCAAAAGTGATTGGTACATTAATATGCCTCGGAGGCGCCTTGTTATTGACTTTTTACAAAGGCATTCCTTTAATCCATTTTTCAGACATACAAACTGCATCTCAATCGATGGAAGAGCACATTAGTTCCTCGAAAAGAAAAGAACGATGGATTTTTGGCTCGTTGATCTTGTTTGCTGGAACGCTATTGTGGTCATCGTGGTTCCTTCTTCAATCAAATATTGGAAAGAAATATCCATGTCAATACTCTAGCACTGTTATTATGACCTTCTTCAGCGCCATACAATCCGCTATCTTAACTTTTTCCATTAATCGAAGACTTTCCATTTGGATTCCAAAGGAAATGATCGATATGTTGAGTGTCATTTATACTGTAAGTACACCTAAACTTCATCTTATTTTGGAGTCTAAATTAACAATAATGTACAATCAAACCTCTCTTTATAACAATCTCATTTGTTCCGAATTTTTTGGCTGTTATAGCAAAGTGTTGTTATATAGAACATGTATAGTGAATGGCTGTTATATAGCGATGCTGTAATAGAGAGGTCTGAATGTATTCTACTTGCGACAGGGGTTAATAGGTTCCGGCTTGTGTTATGTTGGAATGTCATGGTGTGTTAAGAAGAGGGGACCTGTCTTTACTTCAGCATTCAGTCCTCTTGTTCAAGTTATGGCAGCCATGTTAGACGTTCCGTTTCTACACGAGCAACTCAATCTCGGAAGGTGATTCAACACTTTCAATGCTGCTAATTTTTACCTAAGACTATGTTTCAATTCATAATATTATACACAACTGATACATATTCTTTCAAAAAATGAACATGTTCAGTGTGATGGGATCAGTTATTGTAATCGTCGGACTATACTTTCTTCTATGGGGCAAGACTAAAGAAATTCAGAAAGTTCCTCAAGAAACTGCAGAGAAAAAGGACAAGGAGCTAAGTTTTCGAGTTCATGAATCCAATGATGAACGCGCGATTCCTTGATATCAACCTCTCTGGAAATATTTCTATAGTTTCTTTGAACTAAGTTTTAATTCCTAAACATGTAACTATGAACTAAATTTTGTTATATTTTCAAGAACCAACATCAAAGAATCAAGTTTATACCTTAATTGGATGGACATGAGATATTCTTGCCACTGTAAAAGTCACAAGAAAGAAAAATCTAAGGATAATAGCATAGAAGAAAGAACTATAGTAGCAAGTTGTAATTATCATTTTGAAAATACAAATTACAATATTCTGCATATGTTATACTTGTTGAACTCAATGAAGCGAAGGGGAGCCTTGGCGTAACCGATAAAGTTGCTGCCATGTGACCAGGAGGTCACGGGTTCAAGCCGTGGAAACAGGCTCTTGCAGAAATGCAAGGTAAGGTTGCATTGCGGCCCTTCCCCGCACCCCGCGCATAGCGGGAGCTTAGTGCACCGGGCTGCCCTTTTTTCTGTTGAACTCAAGAATGAAGACAGCAATACTATATATAGGAATGGTTTTTAGCTGAAGGGAAATATTTGACTACAAACTTCAGTGAAAGAACTACTCCTTACAAGAGATCAAGAAAAGAGAAAAATAGGAAAACATGGAGACAGTAAAAGAAACAAAGCTCAAGTACACTATGATACTTATCCATATGGAATATTAAGTAGAAATATTAGTTTTCAACTCATATTCTCAAAGAACTTAGAACCTTGACCTATAAAGATTGAAGTTCTGGATCCGCCTCTGGTATTATCCTACTCCGAATGTACCAAATAGTGGTCGGTTCCCGTTCCTTTATTCTTTCCTTTCTTCTTTTCATGGTCCTATTGGTGTTGGCTCTTGGTCATGTTCCATATAATCAGTTATATCCAAATGAACACCAGGGTCATTAGTACAATAGCTACCACCTAACATAATAGAATTGTTGAGTGCTTGAAAATTGCTATTTACATATGTTTTCAACGCTTCATTTTCCTCCGATGAATCGCCTTCAAATCCAGCTTTCTCCTCCATCTCACCGCGCATACTGGCTCCTACATTAGTACCGGCTAGAGTGATGATTCTCGTGCCATGATCATCGTCATCACTCTGGCTCGAGTCCCCTTTTGACGCCTTATTATGAACACGTTGAAGGCTGCCTAGGCGTTTCGTTAGAGAAGATAACATGTTCTTGATGTCATTGTCTGCTTGTTTTTGCTTCTCCCTATCAGGAAAAATGGAATCAGCCATATTGATGTGTTATCCTTTGATCAATAGGGAATAATTTGATATGCAATTGATAAGATCAATTTTTGGAATTGGTTTGGATTTTAAAGAGGATAAGAAGACAGTGTTGTTTGATTAAAGTTGAGGGGACCAAATGCCTTACCTACTTGGCAATATAAGAATTTGCCTCCAAATATATTCTGGAAATAAAAAAAAAAAAAACAAGAAAAGCATTGCTTGTTCAAGGGTTTTGTTATCTCTTCAAATTTCTTTCACTATATTTAGAAGGAGTTTCACTGCTTGGATTACATAATTCACGCCGATGGTTACACTAAACCAATAATAACATGTCACGTACCTTCCGCACATACTTTTATTGTTTAACCATGAGACCTAAAAAAGGGCAGCCCGGTGCACTAAGCTCCCGCTACGCGTGGAGTTTCGGAAAAGGGCCGAACCACAAGGGTATATTGTATGCAGCCTTACCCGGCATTTCTACAGGAGGCTGTTTCCACGGTCGAATGCTTCACCTCCTGTTCACATGGTAACAACTTTACCGACTACGCCAAGGCTCCCCTTCTACCACGAGACCTAACAAAGTTATTTACTTCAGTTTGTCGCTTAATCATGGTAAGTTAATGTGATTTGACGTAAACAATTAGCGTAAAGCTTTTTTCCTTGTTGATTATGCACATATAGATAGATGAAATAAAAGGGAGAAAAGGGTAAGTTCCTTGAGTTGAAAAAGGATTTATTCACATGAATAGGGTCATGACTCATGAGGCAATCTTATGAGGTCAGTTTTCGGCTATATTACTCGGACTCTTCAAAAATGTAGATGGGTACGTGTCGTATTCTCCAAAAATAATGCATTTTGAAGGACGCAACACGAGTACATCAACATTTTTGGAAAGTCCCGGCAAACATATGTTTTAAGAACAAACACATATGCTAAAACAGTGATACTGTGGTACCTACACAATTTAGAGAAGAGATGTGCTGATTTGGTGTCCACTGGAGGCATCTTACTTTAGCATCTTTATTAGCTTTATATTATTGGTTGCTAATTTTGTATACCTTTGACACAAATTACCAACCTTTTCACTTCTAACTACTCCACTAATTCTTCATGGGGAAAAAAGAAAAGCTAGAATTGTTTCCCATTCTCATATTCCAAAATGGGAATTTAGAATGGATCACAAGTCAATAAATTAAATTCACGTATGATTATTGAACTTTTAACCACTGTAATAGTAAAATTATAATATTATTTTTATCACATACACGTAAAGGGACTATGAATTGCTCAAAAAAATACAAATCAACAAAAAGTCAAATTTTCAGCAATAGGTTATAGGTTATGATAAGTCACTTACCACGTTAGCGTTTTGATATTCTGTAAAATTTATAATTAACAAGAATTTGTTTGATAGCATATTAAATCGATTTATATTAGTCTAATTTTCATAATATTAATATTTTAATCGTCTTTCTTTAAATATGAGTAATTACACGAATTTGATCTCACGATCAGAAGTAACTATATATTCCGTCTCATTGTTATAAAGGGTAAAGTTTAGTAATCATATTGGTCCAAGGTGAATGATGTCAATCTATTAATATACTTTATCTAAATTCCTTTGCACAAATTTAACTGATTTACACATGAGACAAGATAATTTCAAAAAAAAAAAAAAATCTCTAAACTAGATGAAATGGTCATTGACTACATAAAAAGTACTTTTAAGTATTTTTGCTCTAAACTACTTAAATTCAGCCGATCCAAACGGGCTCTCAACCTGATCTGTGCCTAAGATTTAATAAAATGATGGGCTGCACTGCAGCAATGATGAAGTTGTCATTTTCACAAAAAGGGACTGGTCATTAAACAAAACTTCCACTGTTTTGTGGCTACATTCGCAAATTGTTAAGTTGGGCCAATTGGGCTGCATAGATCCCCTTATAGTCCAATATCATTTCCTCGTAGAACAATATAGTAAAAATATCACGGCTTAGCCAGTTTTTGGACTGGTCATTCAAAAATAGCCAGCATTTGCAAAGTCATTGAAAAATAGCCATTATTTTGCTGCAACAGGAATCGGTCCAGCATAATATACTGGAGATCGATGCACCTGTGTATGAACTTCCAGCATATTATGCTGGAACTCCAACACGTGGAAAGTTCCAGCATATTATACTGGAGATTGGAGCACCCGTGTATGAACTTCCAGCATATTATACTGGACCGGTATATTATACTGGAACTCCAGTATATTATGCTGGAGTATGTTCCGGATTTTGAACAGTGTTTTCGTTCAGATTTATCTTTACATGAAAAGTGGCTAAATTTCAATTACTTTTGAAACTGTGGCTATTTTTGAATGACCACTTGTAAATCTGGCTATTTTTGAATTTCTCCCAACAATATATGACGAGTTTTGTGAATTTACCTAAAATCTATTTAGACATATACAATAAAAAAGTTAATATATAAGAAAAGAAGGACCAAAGACAAAAAAAAGAAAGGGACTGACGACGTGAATTTGCTGATTGCTATTATAATTATTGGAACTTTTACATACGTTGAAGAAAATATGGTCACATTTTTTAAATATGAAATATATGTTAAGTTTTGAAGTGGTAGTTTTTTTTTAATAAACAAATTCTTGAAAAGCGAAAAACAAATTTTTTTAGTGGAATCAAAAACACGAGGTGATTTCTTTTATTTGTCCAAGCTTTGATGGATAGAATTACTCGGCATTTGTACCGGTTAAATATAGTACAGTCAGATCTCTCTATAACAACATCCCTATCTAACAGTCATTTACTATAAAAGCCAAGTTTTAATTGGAACCGATTTCTATGTTATGTTATAAATATATGTCCTCTATAACAATTCTTCACTATAGCAACCAAAAAATATCGGAATAAATGAAGTTGTTATAAAGAGGCTTGACTACAGGTGTTGAGTGAAATTAGTCGAGTATACACACGCTGACACAGACACCATTATTATTTAAAAAGAAAACAAAAGGTGGAGATAGAAAGCTACAATAAATATCTTATATCTTCCTAAAGGTGTTGAGAAGGATGGGTGGAGGCATAGGCATAAAATCTTCCTCCATAATTATGTGGGGACGATAAATCTGACTACTATTGTAATGGGGGAGCTGAAATTTGGCTAGAATAGAAAAAAATTTCTCACACTTGAAATTACACTAAATTAAATAAATTTAATTATAAATGAACTATTTCCTTTCTTGATATGGATTCTTACTATAAAATTTAAATATTTAACATATGTTATTTTTACGCACTTAAAATCATGTGATGACATGATACTCACACGAACTTTAAATACAAGTACAAAAGCATCTTATGAAAAATGACACACATAGCACATTCTACTCCGTTTCTAAATAATTGACACTTGAAAGGTAGTCTTGGAGCAATGATAAAGTTATCTCCATGTGACCTATAGTTCATGGGTTCGGTCCGTGGAATCGTCCACCGATGCTTGCATTACGGTAGGGTGCCTAAATCATACCTCTTGGGATGTAGCCCTACTTCGAACCCTGCGTGAACGCGGGATACTTCGTGCACCGGACTACCCATTTTTTAAAGGATTGACACTTGAAGGGGAGCCTTGGAGCAAAGGTAAAGTTAGGTTACATGTTTGAGCTGTGGAATCATCCATTGCTTGCATTATGGTAGGCTACCTACATCACGGTCCCTCGGGGTGCAGCCCTCCCGATACCATGTATGAACGCAGAACGCTTCGTGTATCGTGCTGCCCTTTTTCTATAAGGATTGACACTTGAAGGGGAGCCTTGGAGCAAAGGTAAAGTAAGTTACAAGTTCGATCGTGGAATCACTTAGTGATACTTGCATCATTGTAGGCTAGCTACATCCCACCCCCTTGGGTGCAGCCCTTCTCCGGATCCTGCATGAATCCGGAATGCTTCGTGCACCGCGCTATTTTTTTTTTATAATGGATTGACACTATTACCACTTGAGTTAAAATAAATAGATTTTTCTTTCATTACTTTTTAAATAGATAAAAATAATTTCCAAGAGTACATAATTAATAAGAGTCCCAAGCCAATTAGGAAACCTCCCAAAATAACACAATAATAAAAAAGCTGCACATTTTTTCCCTCAAACTACTGTATAATTACCACCATTGGTGTGAAGTGAATCTTTGTACAGAAAATTTGACTTCTTTTTTCTCTTCCCCTATGAACGTCATCCATAGAAATTTTCTCCAACCGAGCCGCCCCTTTTTTTTTTCTTTTTTTTTTTCCATTTAATAAACGCCATCCAATTTTATCACACACTTCTCTTCATTTCTTTCTCTTTGTTCTCTCTGTTCTTTAACACTTTGCTTCTGTGAACAATTTAAACTAAGCAGAAAGATAGAGCATTTTCAGCTTCTTTGGGTGTTTTTGTCATCTGGGGTTGACATCAAAATCCAAGAAAGGTCAGTTTTTGGTTATAATTTTAACTTATATTGGCAAATTACCAGTTAATTTTTTGTTTTTCAGTTATTGTAATCTGCATGTGCTATGATTTTATTTTCATATGGGAGATTTTGGATTGTTAATAGTATATTTGTATAATCTTGAAAATGGTGAAATTCTTTGTAAAGATTTGTTTTTTATCATTTTTTAAAATGTTTTTCAGTTATTTCAGTTAATGGGGTTGGTGTGGATTATGAGAAACTAGTCATTTTCATGATGAATCCTCACAATATGGATATTGTTGTTGTAATCTATATGTGTTTTATTTTCATATAGGAAATTTTGGATTGTTAACCGTATCTTACAATAACAACAACAACATACCCAGTATTATCCCAGTATCTTGGGATGTAAAATCTTGAAAATGGATAAATTCTCTAAAAAAGATTTGTTATTTATGACTTATAGTATTGCTCATTAGCATTGGCGGAGCCAGGATTTTCACTAAGCGGTGTCATAATATAAAAAATTAAATACACCGAAAAGTTGGGGGGGGGGGGGGAC